ATATGGCAGTAATTATCAAATAGTCCGTTTCTATATATGTTGGCGTTTGCTTTCGTTGCAGTTCAGTATTTCTGTTGTTTTCCTCTTAAAGTTGATGTGTTTCCTTCGGTTTTAGTTTGAAACCCGAATTTGTTTTCTCTTAATCGATTTATGACTTTTGAACAGGGTATACTACTGTTGTCTTTATTTATCATGCAGTAAATACAAAATTTGAAATAATTCTCAAAAATTCATTTTCACCTGTATGTATAATTATGGGGGTGATCTCAGGTGCTCCGGAAGGGTAAGCAGATCCTGAAATTAGATCTCGGTCTTTTTCTGAAATTAGTTCTATCAAAACTTTTGATTTTTCAACCCTATATACCACCATTCCCCATGTGAAATTGAAAAATCGCCTGACAGAAATAATCCACAATGCCTTTCAACATAAAAATGGTAGCATACGCTATAAATTTATTACTTTGGGATATCATAAGGCATATTTTGTTAATAGTGAACAAAAGGGTAAAATATGTTACACAGAGGAACAAGTGATCAGTATGCTGGAGTTTCTTATCGACAACATATTTGTTGAATTTGAAGGTAGAATTTTTCAACAAATTGTCGGCATTCCTATGGGAACAAACTGTGCGCCTCTCCTTGCCGACCTCTTCTTATTTTCATATGAAACGGAGTTCCTTCAGACACTTGTCAAAAACAAGAAGATCAAAGAAGCCAGATTATTTAATTTCACTTTCAGATATACTGATGATGTTCTTTCCATTAACAATCCGAACTTTTCTGATTGGGTTCCATTAATATATCCTCCAGAACTAGAAATCAAAGAAACAACGGACACGGCTTCCTCCGCCTCATTTTTAGACTTATACCTCGAATTTGACACACACAGTCATCTCAGTACCAGAATCTATGACAAACGAGTCGATTTTAATTTTGAAATTATCAATTTCCCCCACCTTAGTAGCAATATACCAACTTCACCTGCATATGGGATATACATTTCCCAACTAATTCGATATTCAAGAGCTTGCAGCTCCTACTCAGACTTTGTAAAACGTCACCAGTGTCTGAGCAGAAAGTTGATGAACCAGGGGTATGTCAAAGAACGTTTCGTCCTTTTTCTAAAAAAGTTCATCGGAAGGTACCAAGACCTTGTTGATAAATATTCCGTATCAACTTCACAAATAATACATGATGGTCTTGATGTATAGATTCTGCGTACTGACGTTGCTTATCATCTTAATAACGTGTTATATTGTTCTTTTATTTGTCTTTGTTCTATTATTAATATTACTTTTACTGTTTGGTCTGTTTTCTGTGATATCCATTTGACGTGGCTCGGTACTTATACATCCCGTCAATGTGTTTGTATTATCTTTCATTTTTGCTGGTGTGTTTTGTACGTGTGACTTTATGTGTTTGTTTGGTACATATAACGTGGCTCTGTACTTTTAAAGATCCCACCATTTTGTTATTGTTCTATTATAATACCATTATGTTATTTGTTCTATTATAATTTTGAAAATACTTTGAACGACAAAATTATTTTACTCGCGTAGTGGTATTAACTATATGTGGATTCTTAAAAATTCTAAAGAACTTCTGGATAATTTTAAATCTCGGTCTTTTTCTGAAATTAGTTCTAACAAAAACTTTTGATTTTTCAACCCTGTATACCACCATTCCCCATGTGAAATAATAATTTTGAAAATACTTTGAACGACAAAATTATTTTATATTTCTTCCTGTGTGACGTTTACATTTTCTGGCGTCAAACACGCAACTCTACACTAAGAGTAGATGTGAATGCAGTCACAGGACTTTAAATATTTCATTCCTTTATGGGTTGATTTATAATACATATATAAGTAAGCAAGAATGTGGTAGTTAAATTTGATAGATGCTTTTTGTGCTTCTTTGTTGAATGTTTGTTTGTTTTGAGATTGTGACACAGTGATGACTGCTGTACCCATATTTTGACAATGTTACCTATTATGTCTGTTTTGTTCACGCATCGTTGTAAATATAATGGAATTTGATGCGACTGTCATACAAGTTAGAGGTTTAGCGCTATAAAACCAGGTTCAATCCACAATTTCTAAAAAAGTCAGGAATATGACAGTTGTTATCCATTCGTTTGAAGCGTTTGAGCTTTTGATTTTGCCATTTGATTAGGACTTATATCTAGAAATTGACTATGAGGGTCGGTTGAAAATTCAACTTAACGACAAAAGAGATGATTTCAGCTTCCCAATTGTGACCTTTTCATTTTTAAACCAAGAGATCCAAATGGTGAAGTTGTAATCATCACTTCGTAAATATTACAGACGCCATCACGAGTTGGTTGACCGTTATGGAATATTCGTTATACAGATGATATCGAATATGTTCCTTATGTCGTAACTACAATCCCCTTCCCTTTCCACGAATGTGACCTACCGAATTCGACTATTTACCGGCTTTGTAACAACATGAGCAACACGAAGGGTGCCACATGTGGAGCAGGATCTGCTTCCCCTTCCGAAGCACATGAAATCATCCCTAGTTTTTGGTGGGGTCCGTGTTGTTTTTGTACCCCTATTTGTGACATTTTGTTCACGCATCATTGTCAATATAATGGAAATTGATGCGACTGTCGTACAAGTGAGAGGTTTAGCGCTATAAAACCAGGTTCAATCCACCATTTTCTACATCTGAAAATGCCTGTACCAAGTCCATTCGTTTGATGTGTTTTATCATTTGATTTTAAGGGTGACTGGGGAATAGAAGTATGGTCACCATTGGTCTTCCTCCAACCGGCAGTAAAACCCTCGCCAAAGTGGGGCGTCCGTTTGGCTGTGCGGGATGTATAAATTTGCAGCCACGTCCGGTCAGAATGGGGACGTTAAATCCGATGCCTCGTGTAAAGAGAATGCCACGCTCTTTGTACGTTAAGAACCTTTGAAACAACTCTTTGAGGGTCCGTAGGTGACCTGTTGCAAGGCTAAATGTCTGTCCCTATCCAATATACCCTCATTTCCCGTGGCTTTCTAAATTTTTCCGACCTTAATCCCGGACGCCTCTATTACAGAACCTATTTATTGTATTTATTGTTAATTTGTTCTCGTCCTGAATATGCATGAAATATTTGCCACTGGACGTTAAGCAACCAACAATCAATCAATCAATCATTTGATTTTGCCATTTGATTAGGGACTTTCCGTTTTGAATTTTCCTCGGAGTTCAGTATTTTTGTGATTTTACTTTTCACATGACATGATACTGTATTTTTTGTCCAATCACACTGTTCAGGTACATTGCCTTAGGTACACAAAAGAGCAATCTAAATTTCGGAATGTAAATGCTATCGTGTCACCTTATTGACACCTTCTTTACCTGAATTTATTTTTATTTATCTGGATAATATTTTCAAGTTTAATTTTATGTCCGTAATGTTTTCCTTTCATTGTAGCATACATCTTGTTTTGTGGGTTTTTGTTCAATTCCAATATTTCGTCCAATCAGAGTAAAGATTTGTACATCATACATGCCGTTACCATAGTGAAGCGTCCTTTAAAAATGGGTCACAAACCGAAATTATACTGACTGCGTCAGAAATGAGAAAGGAAAACAAACACAATATAAATTTCAAAGATACGTACGCTAAATGATGTCTACTAAACAAAAATAAACAAACAAATAAATAAATAAGAAAAAATAGTAAAAGAAAAAAATAACACAACAAAATTAATGACAAAACCAAAATAACAAACCGAAAGAAAGGAGTTTTTGAATGAAACAATAAACAACAGAAGGAATAAACAAATATAACTCAAAGATAGTGAGTTGTACAAGTTATTATCTGTTTCTCAACCAAAATTGTATAAGTAATTACTTGTACAATTATATTTGTACAAGTAAAACTTTTAGATGGCATTGTACAAGTAATTACTTGTACAAGGTTTTTGTACAAGTAATAACCTGTAAAAAATAATAAAATGTACACGACATGTATAAATAAAATAGACATCTAAATTGCAACCCATTGGTAGTCGAGAGATTTCGTCGATTTGTTGATGTCAGTCACACATAACAGACTTCAAGGAGGGGTTCGATTCCCAGTGAAGGCATATAAAAATTATAAAAGAAAAAGGTAAGATTTTATATCAATCCCAGTAGTGAACAGAAATCAGAAAATTAGCCAATTCAAACTTAATGAAATAAGGCACACAAAGGAAACAATTGAATATAATTTGGTGAGTCCATTTCAGCGACAGATTTAGGAGGCGTTGATTCTAGAAAAAGAAAACACGGTGAATGAATATGCTAACGTCACGATAACGGTTTAATTTGCAGATCACAAGCACTCTCATATTCATTTGTAGATCACATGCACAGGTTTTATGATTAAATAACGAGAAAATAAAATGTTACTATTAAAAATGCATGTAGCTTTATCTGTACTTCAGCATTTCTCTTAAATGTTATTTTATCTATTTAAAAAAATATTAAATAATGTGACAATTAAGATGAAATAATAGAGCAACTTTGCTCTGAAAAACACCTCTGGGCTATTGTAAGGTTAAATTTCCGGACATATTACGGGTATTTGCCCCTTCAATATTATAATATTTCATATAAAATTACCAAAATTATTGTTTTTATCCGGTACTTAAAAGTGTGAAGTTATTTGATGAAAAAACATAAACACATTGTGAGACGTAGAAATGACTTAATTAGAGAACATCAAATGTCAATATAAATGTGTATTTAGACGTAAATTATAACATAATACTGTAAGATGTTATAAAGCAGGCCAATATACAATGATATTTGTAACTGTCACTCTGATTTAACGACATCTTTATGATTAGTTTGTACGTATTGTACCGTGACGGATAGTAATGATGTTTTCAATATAGACGATGTGATCGGAAATTTTAGTTTCTATTTATTTCAGTATTGGCATTTTATGATAACTATGAGTTTGTATAAACAACATTCATGAAATATTTGTAAAAATGGAAAATAGACCGTTGGTTTTGGCTGTTGTTATGACTTCAGTATATATGATTTATATTAAGGGACAATGTACTATTACCTGTCAATCGGCCGAATGTAAAAATGGAGGTACATGTATTGTAAACACTGATAATTGTTCTAAAACGTGTAAATGTTTATCGTATTATACTGGAAGTAAGTGTGAAATAGCCGACCTTAAAATACAGGAAACAACAACTTCAGTTCTAAAAGCCTCTTCAACAGAAACAACTACTTTTTTAGAAACTTCTAATTTGGTACTTCAAAACTCGTCAGAATTTAAAACGACTACTCTGAGACCTAGGTCTAGTCGAAGCTGTCTTTTTGGAATGCTGATATGCGAACATGGATATTGCTCTGGTGGAATGAAATGTAGCTGTGATCCTAACTGGACTGGCGCAAAGTGTGAAAGGTTGAAATGTCCCCTGTCTTGTGAAGGACTTTGTGAGTTGATTGATAATAGAATAGAGTGTAAGTCAACAGAACCAGTAACAACAGCTATTACGTTAATTACCAGGAACCCTGTGAAAGGGAGACAACTACCACTAATTCAACAGAGAGCAGTGATATCTCTAACTACAGAAACAGCAACCCACAGTGATATAGGAGAACGGAAATGTCTTAATGGATCTAATGCATGTGTGCATGGGTACTGTAAACGTGAAACACTGAGTTGTGTTTGTGATGATAACTGGAACGGCTATCTTTGTGATCAGCTCGACTGTCCAGCAAATTGTCCCAAGGGTTGTAACATCTCTAATAATATTGTCCAATGTTTAGAACATACATCAGAAATATCTGAACAAAGTTCTGTTACGTTGGAAACATCAACAATGGTGCAAAGAACAGCAGTTGATATTGAAGATGACTTATATAGATCTTTAAAAAACAGAACATGTTTACAAAATTTTTTTGTTTGCGTTCATGGATTTTGCAAGAAGGAGAGAATGCGTTTTTACTGTGTGTGTGACAGTAATTGGGAAGGAATGTTCTGTGATAAATTAGACTGTCCACACTGTTCGAACGGCTGTGAGTTAGAGGAAGGATCTGTAGTATGTAATACTGCAACAGAATTGTTAGTTTCGTTTACTTCTATACCAACTACAATATCAGCAACGACTGTTTTCACCTCAATGCCTACTACGATATCAACAACGACTGTTGGACAAATAAATGGCTCATTTCCTGATGGACATGTCTGTTCCAACAATTACACAGAAAACCGAACAAAATGTATGGGTATATTTCCTTGTAGATATGGAAAATGTCAAAATGAACTTTCTGGCTCCAAGTTGATTAAATGTGTTTGTGATCCTGGAGCCGATGGAGACATGTGTGAAAAAACATGTTGTAAATACTGTAGTGATCACGGCCGCTGTAGGAGAGATATGAATCAAACAGAATTTTGCAACTGTAACTTTGACTACGAAGGAGAATTCTGTGAATATAAAATCATTCCGAAAGGTAAGACGAAACTATATATGATATACTGGAATACAAATAAGTTACGAGATAATATGATATATATATATATGAAATTGTTTAAATTCAAAGTTGTATTCTTTATTAAATTGTCAACAATTAAATGAGTTCCGTGACACTTTTTCAAGATTTAAACATTAACTACTAGTAAATAATAACTATTTTATTTTATTATTTTTCTTTGTTCAAATTCAATCGAAAACTTGTTTACTATCTTTTCCGTTTCTGAACTTAAGAATAATTTAATACTGGAATACAAATAAGCTACGAGATAAAGAATCAAAACGTTCTGTAAAATCGAATATAGAAATCGCAATTCAAGAAAAAGACTTTATTTTTTTAATTGTAGTATTTTTTTGGAAAATCAATTCAAAATCTAGCAAAAAAAAAACATCTCGACGTGGAATCGGACGGTTACAAATAAGTAGTAAAAATTGATAGATGCTCCTACACATCCTTTTTTTATGTAGTTAGAATAACAATGTACGTATTATTCGTATATAGAATCATCGTATATTACTAAAAGGTTTGAACATGATTCATTAGAATAATTACAATTAATGTTATCTAGTATATGTGAATAAAACATCCATGTCAAAAGTCGCTGGTCAAATGACACGACATTTACTTTATATTTGATCAATGGCCTCTTATAAATGAAACCACTAATGCATACACAATTTTATTATAATGAATTACGAGGTTAGAAACGTATCAACATTTAGATATTAATACCATAGCTACAACTGTACAATGACATCAAATCCAACGTTAAAACATAAATTGATACTTAGGACCTACAAGAATCAGAAAAGTCAGTTGGAGTCACCAAATACGTTTTTATCCTCGTTGTTTAAAGGAAACACATGTAAAATGTCATAAACAGAATATTTATGACTGGTTTTGTTAGGTTTCTTTGCCAGATATTATTATTGACATTGCCCAACGCTGTGTGTTTCTATACACATAAGTAGTGAGATCGACATCTAGCAAAGAATCCTGCTAAAAACGGTACTAGGGACCGTCTTAACTTGTAGTGAGAATAGAGATTTCATCACGTTTAAGGTCACACTGCAACTTTGAGATGAAGAACAACAATAAAAGTTCCTTTGCTTTTGTTTTTTACGTGTGCACGTAGTTATTTGATTCCATGAATTGATACACCATATCGTGTTGCCATTAGAAACGCTTGTACAATATGAGAATCGGTAAAAATCGTTCTTAACGCATACTCAATAACACCTTCTCACATCGTCCTGAATATGCATGAAATAATTGCTACTAGACTGGATGTTAAGCAAGCAACAATCAATTAATCAATCATTTAATCTCATTTCAACATTCCTTGATATTCTCTCCAGACTAAATAAGGTGTTAACAATTAAACCCAATCATCCTTAAAATATTTATCATTTGTTTAAGCATTCATCATAAATACACATCTGTCAGTCATTTTCTGTTAACTCACTGTTCATAAATACTTGTTGTTTGTGTGGTTGATGACTTTTCCAAAAACCAAAGCAAGGGTACTTTTCTATGAAGCTAGTAAATGAAAAGTTATAGTATTTAAATCATGTAAGATAAAACATTACATGCGGTATGAAAGTGTGATGCACTTGTTTGTCTTGTTTATACACAGTCCTGTGACTGCAAGAAATAAAAAGGTATACTATTGCAGAATTTCAGTTTCACATGGCCTGCTATTAAATACAACCTTCAGATTTGCGTCAACTTCAATAAAAATAACTATCAAGTGGATAGTTAGGGTCCTTGAAGTTAAAATAATGAATTCATAAAAAATCATTCATGTCGTTTGGTCTCTGGTGGATAGTTATTTAAAATATTGTCTCAAAACCAATCAAAAGTAATAAAAAACAACGCACCATAACGTGCCGAAATAGAATAGGTCGCAGATGAATAACATTGAGTCCTTTGCAAATTGGCGAACATTGTTCAATTATTTCGTTTGATTACTGCATGCATTTTGTCGGTCAAAAATAGGAATTTAAAAAAAAAACAAAACAAGAGTACTTTTCTATAATTAGGGTGTTATATGGATTGAAACAGATTTAATATATAAAAAAATTGTGTAATTTTGCATTTTTACAACGAACATCCAATTATTCATAAATATTAGTAAAATAGTAGTTTAGGAATAAATTTTCTTTATTCGCTAAACAAGTTTAATTAACAGCAAAATGCGAAAATACTAACCATCGAAAAATTTATGAAAGAAATGTTCTATAAAACAGAAGTCAGAGTTTGTGTGAGTCGCTGTCTACGTTTTCATTAGATGTGTAAAAAGTAAAATGACAAAAACACCGAACTCCAAGGGAAATTCAAAACGGAAAGTCCTTTATAAAATGGCAAAATAAAAAGCTCAAACACATCTAACGAATTGAAAACAACTGTCATATTCATTACTTGGTACAGGTTTTTCCTTATGTAGAAAATGATAAAGTGGAGAATTGGTTAATCTTTCCCAAAACCGTATATTTAGGCTTTAATTCGGAAACCTGCTGTATGGTCAATACGAGGTTTTGTTTGAAATAAATATTTTAATACATACTTCAAAATACGCAAGGTGAGTCAAATCATATTCAAATACCTTGCAAATTGCTCAATAAAGATTGGACATTTTTGGGGTTATTTAAGGCAAAATTTTCATACTACCTTAAGTAAAATGGTGTAACAGTCATAACGTCTTATTTCTGACATTTGTCCATTTATCAGAACATTAAAATATATCCAATTTTTCTATTTTACGCAAATAAACATATATAAGAATTTCAAAAATATAATATTACTTTTTTAATTATCTGAATTCGAAATGCAAGCTTTTAAATAGCCGTGTATCCTATATTTTATAGTGTTGATAATATCCCATTATTTCGCTTAAAATTTTTAAAAGCTGTAATGAAATATTCTGGTCCCTTTTCTTGAAAATATTAGAGCAATTGTTATCAATATGAATATTTGATTGCAAACTTTCAATTTCTGTAAATATAAAATAGATTCTTGAAATGTTGATAACGGAAACAAATGTTGATATAACTATTTTTTTATCAATTTAGTACTGGAAGAAGAGACGTGGTATTGGTGGGTTGTTGGCGTATGTCTTGGTTTGATTGTTATCTTAGTTCTGGCATTAGTAGTCCTTCCTTACTGGATGTGGAGAAACAGGGTCATACTGATCATGAAAATTGTACATTATTTCCAAAGATATGAAGACAATGGTAAGTTATTGTATTTAAATCATGTAAGATAAAACATTACATGCGATATGAAAGTGTAATGCACTTGTTTGTCCTGTTTATACACATTTCTGTGACTGCAAGAAATAAAAAGGTATAATATTGCAGAATTTCAGTTTCACATGGCCTGCTATTAAAGACAACCGTCAGATTTGCATGTACTTCAATAAAAATAACTATCAAGTGGATAAGTTGGGGTCCTTGAAGTTAAAATCATGAATTCATAAAAAAATCATCCATGTCGTTTGGTCTCTGGTGGATAGTTATTTAAAATATTGTCTCAAAACCAATCAAAAGTTAAAAAACAACGCACCATAACGTGCCGAAATAGAATAGGTCGCAGATGAATAACATTGAGTCCTTTGCAAATTGGCGAACATTGTTCAATTATTTCGTTTGATTACTGCATGCATTTTGTCGATCAAAATAACAATTCGAAAAATTTTCCAGCCCACGATTGTTTCATTTCAAGCTCAGAAACAAAATAATGTAGTTTTTAGTCATCTTTGTCATTGCTTTACAACCCTTTGTTGTTTGTAGAATGCACCACAATTATTGTAATAAAACCGTAAAATACATATGAAGTAACACTCAAGAATTAAATTCTACTAATGATCAAATGGATTCAGAGAAATATGTCCTTTTCATAACTATGCATTTTACATGGGGCATTTTAGCTCTTGGAAAATGTTTGTCATACTGATTAAGGCATGTACGTTTCTTAAAAATAAAAGTAGCAAGGTTTTAGTTTTAAAAAGCATTTGTAGATCATTCTTTTATTAAATCAAGTAATAAAAAAGTTTAAAAACACATTACAAATATGGAACAAATATATATTAATTATTCAAAGCACTTGCGATTTAAATCCTTCATTTATTTATCGGATAACAATGCACTTTATATTACACAAGGAAAAAAAACCAACTATGACACACAAACAATCATTCTTAATCAGTATAATTATACCATTAATTAAACAAATCATATACATGTAGGTTTTAAACTATTTGACATATTTAACACTATAGGTTTTTAATAGAAAGTATATTGTATCGTTTTGAAGAAATATAATTTATAACAGCAAACGGAACTTGTTGAAAACAGATAAATCCATTATTTGTCTCTCATACAAGTATTGTAGTCGAACCTTCGTTTTGGGAATTTACGGAAATAGATAGTATACACACACTAACCACGTAATAAGAATAAGGGTTCTCATAAATTACATATGCATGATCTACATTAAACACACAATTGGTTGAAATTTGTCATGGTGATTGTCTTAATGTCATCTTGAATGGATAATTGAATTGTTTCATACTTTTCATGTCGGGGCCTTTTATAGCCGACTATACGGTATGGGTTTTTCTCATTGTTGAAGGCCGTATGGTTGCCTATGATTGCTTACATCCACTTTATTTGAACTTTAGTGGATAGTTGTCTCTTTGGCAATCATACCACATTTCCTTATTTTTGTATGTATTAATTTACAGGCTTTTTCCGAAGTTAGACATTTTGTAAAAATCCTGAAAATTTCTATTAGATTTATGCATTTTATTTATTGACTAATTTTTTCAGGCAATTTTTACAAAAAGGCTAAAAATATCATTTAGAATGAAAACAGATCTTTATTTGATTCAAAAAATGACCCAAGAATATATCGAGGAAGATGAGATGAAGATAATCCTTTATTTGCATCACAATGAGAGGGGAATCTGTAATTTATAAATTATATTCCTTTCTGAATGTGGAATATTAAATCGAATGGCTTATGTAAGGAGAAAGCTACGCTCTTTACACACGAACACTCTTTTTGACAGGTCCGAAAATTGCATGCTGAATGGTTGCATTTCTGTTCCTATCTCTCATATCCTCATTTTCATGAGGAAGTCGAAATTCCTGCTCTTCACCATGCATCTGAAAGATATATATATATATAAGTCTAAATTGAAAACAACGTTCAAACCTATGATTGCGTTGGATAAAAACCGCAATTTTTATACCTGTGCATGCAAAACAAATTTCTTGGTAGAGGGGTCTAAATACAGCACAAACAACATTTTCCAAAAGACCAAAAAAGTGAAAAAGTATATTTTAACAAAACGCATTTGACTAGCAGGTCGAACAACGGATGTTCTTAAACCCTGCTGACTGCCATTGGCGATTGCCAAATAAACGGATCACCAGATGTAAAAAAATGGATCTTGACTATTAATTTAATACTTAACAGAAAACAATAAACTTGCGGAAAAGATGGTATACCGCAAACAAAAGGTGCAAAGGTTTTTGTACACCATATCCGGATTTCGACAATTACTGTCTCTTCAGTGATGTTAGGAATCGAGACGGTATTTGGAAGGCCATATAATTTACCTCAATTTAGGATAGACTGTTGAATTTTGAAGAGTCGAAATAGGATAAACGGATAATAAACCTGAAGGTAAATATAATACAAGCCCAAACGAAAAAATATAAATAAGTCTAAATTGAAAACAACGTTCAAACCTATGATTGCGTTGGATAACAACCGCAATTTTATACGTGTGCATGCAAAACAAATTTCTTGGTAGAGGGTTCTAAATACAGCACAAACAACATTTTCCAAAAGACCAAAAAAGTGAAAAAGTATATTTTAACAAAACGCATTCGACTAGCAGGTCGAACAACGGATGTTCTTAAACCCTGCTGACTGCCATTGGCGATTGCCAAATAAATGGATCACCGATATAATAAATGGATCTTAATTATAAATTTTATACTAAACAGAAAACAATAAACTTGCGGAAAAGATGGTATACCGCAAACAAAAGGTGCAAAGGTTTTTGTACACCATATCCGGATTTCGACAATTACTGTCTCTTCAGTGATGTTAGGAATCGAAACGGTATTTGAAAAGCCATACAATTTACCTCAATTTAGGGTAGACTCTTGAATTTTGAGGAGTCAAAATAGGATGAACGGATCATATAAACCCGGAGGTAAATATAATACAAGTCCAAACGAAAAAATATAAACAAGTCTAAATTGAAAACAACGTTCAAACCTATGATTGCGTTGGATAAAAACCGCAATTTTTATACGTGTGCATGCAAAACAAATTTCTTATTAGAAGGGTCTAAATACAGCACAAACAACATTTTCCAAAAGACCAAATAAGTGAAAAAGTATATTTTAACAAAACGCATTTGATTAACAGGTCGAACAACAAATGTTCTTAAACCCTGCTGACTGCCATTGGCGATTGCCAAATAAGCGGATCACCGATATAATAAATGGATCTTAATTATAAATTTTATACTAAACAGAAAACAATAAACTTGCGGAAAAGATGGTATACCGCGAACAAAAGGTGCAAAGGTTTTTGTACACCATATCCGGATTTCGACAATTACTGTCTCTTCAGTGATGTTAGGAATCGAAACGGTATTTGAAAAGCCATACAATTTACCTCAATTTAGGGTAGACTCTTGAATTTTGAGGAGTCAAAATAGGATGAACGGATCATATAAACCCGGAGGTAAATATAATACAAGTCCAAACGAAAAAATATAAACAAGTCTAAATTGAAAACAACGTTCAAACCTATGATTGCGTTTAATAAAAACCGCAATTTTATACGTGTGCATGCAAAACAAATTTCTTGTTAGAGGGGTCTAAATACAGCACAAACAACATTTTCCAAAAGACCAAAAAAGTGAAAAGGATATTTTAACAAAACGCATTTGACTAACAGGTCGAATATATATATGTTTTACAAATAACCTGAAACTGAGAAGGCAATATGCTGAATTTTGTTTTGAGATGACTAGTTATTTTTACTTATTTTCATATAGAGCATTTCAATGTCATGTATTTAATAAATGGGCTAAAATATGAGGTATTCAACAAAAATACCATTTACATATACAATTGAACATACAAGTGTTTCTGTATTTGACTAAACGTTTCCGTAAATACCTGTTGTGACCAGCATTGGTTGTAAAGTAGTTCTTCGTCATTATGGTATAACTGAATTTGGCATGTTCCCTAATGGTGATCGTCACTACATTTTATATAAAATCACATGATCGGTGCTTTATTCACGAACACCCAATGACCAGTGCTCTTGGCCCATTAATGTTTTACTGTTTGTTTTCTGTTATAAATGACAACGTAAATTACATCGGTACTCTATCTTCAAATTTAAAGCGGTAACTCAAATTTACAAATGATAAATTTTATAGATTAATTATTGATCAAAATGTATGTCAATTACTATTTTAGTGCCGAACCAATGAAACTATTAGTATTGAGGAAGTACTGATGTACGTTTTTTTGTTGTTGTCTTTATTACATCTTTTTCTGCTTTATCTTAATCCCTCCAACGTTGGAGCACAAACAGCGGAAACGGTTTGAAATGAACATATGGACATTTAAGTAATCCAAAGTTAAAATGTAGAATAAAAGTCCTACAACGTAAAAGTTGCACATGCACAAAAAAATAATTCAGCTTTATACTTTGACCAGTATTTTTCATTAAACGATAGTGCATCACTCAATCAGTCTTCGAAAATGAACAAATTAAAACATTTATATGTATTAATATATTATTTGTGTTTTAGATGACAGAGAATGGGATGCATTTGTATCCTACAAGTGTGACGACAGGGACGAATCATTTGTTCTAAAACAGCTATATTCCAAGTTAGAAGTGGAAATGGGTTTTAAATTGTGTCTTCACTTTAGAGATTTCATACCAGGAGACAGTAAGCATACACTTTTGTTTATTTTAAACTACATGCTTATATATCTGACATGCAAGTGATCAGATTGATATATTGTATTAATAAAACTGCCAGTAAGTTAGTTATTCAAACTTCCCTCGTTTGGAATAAAACCGCTAATTCATATTCTCATTGATTTCTACGTTAATTTCTGCAATTTCAAGCATTCATAGCTATTTTTTTCTAAAGTTCAAATAAAGTGGCAATCGTTTCATGTCAATACTATACCTAATCCTGACTTGTGCTGAAAAATTCAACACACCTTTAATTGCATATTCGAGCGCACTGGTTCCCAGAAGTTTGATAGTACAAAAACAAGCACTTCTGATCTGAACAACAGGGCAAATACGCCTTCCTATTTTAATATTATATATGTTTTTTATTATCTAAAAGAAACATTCAACAAAGATTCTACTTTACTTACTTACTTAATCCTTTTCGTGCTTTGATGCACATAAGGCCGACACTAGCTCTCTCCATAACACTCTGTCTTGTGCTTTCTTCTCTACTTCTCGCCATGACATCCCAACCTCCTTCATCTCGCTTTCCACTGTTCTTCTCCATGTCTTCTTCTTTTGGTCTTCCCCTTTTCCTCTTGCCAGTTGGAGTCCATCTCAGTGACACTTTAGCGATGTTTGCTGGTTCCTTCCTTAAGACATGGCCTATCCATTTCCATCTTCTTGTTTTTATTTCATCTCTTATGTCTCTTTGCGTGTCAGTTTGAATAGTTCCCGATTGGTTATTTTGTTGGGCCAAAAGATTTTACATATTCTTCTCAAGCAGGTATTGTGGAATGCAGCCAGTTTGTTGAAGTCAGTTTGTATAATTCTCCAACATTCTGAGCCATAAAGCAGTACAGATTTGACATTGCTGTTGTAAATTTTAAGTTTTGTGTTTCTGGCAAGGGAGGACGATTTCCAGATTGGTCTGAGTTGACAGAAGGATGTTCTAGCTTTACTCAGTCTTGCTTTGATGTCTTTGGTGGTCCCATTATCACTGCTTATTACACTGCCTAGGTATGTAAAGTCTTCTATTTCATCGATGTTTAAGGATCCAATCTTTATTGGAATTTTATTTGATTGTTCGTTGATTGACATGACTTTCGTTTTCTCGATGTTTATTTTGAGCCCAAGTTTGTTTGACATAGTATTCAGTCTTGAAGTTTTCTTTTGCATATGTGTTCTGTTGCTGGATAGTAAGCAAATGTCATCTGCAAAGTCTAGATCTTCAAGAAAGGAGTTGAGTGTCCATCTTATTCCAGTGTTTCCATTTCCTAAGGTTGATCTCATACACTAGTCAACAACTTTTAAGAAGAGAAGAGGAGAGATTATTCATCCTTGTCTGACGCCTGTATCCACTGAGAACCAATCAGAAAGCTGTCCATTGTGTACTACACAACATTCATACTTGTAGAATATCTTTATCAGCTTGACTATTTTTGATGGTACTCCATATGCTCTTAGTATGTCCCAGATATATTCTCTTATTACACTGTCAAATGCTCTTTGGAAGTTAATGAAGTTTAGTACTATTTTGTTCTGCCACTCTATGGATTGCTCTATGATGTTTCGGAGGGTAAAGATGATCAATGCAGCCTCTGTTATTTCTAAAACCTGCCTGTTCTTCAGCTTACTGTTGATGGAATCAGTAATTCTATTCTTGATGACTCTGAGGAATACTTTAGTAGGGATTGAAAGTAGTGATATTCCTCGCCAGTTGTTGCAAAGTTTCAGGTCTCCCTTCTTTTGCAGTTTTATAATAATACATTTGTCCCATTCAGTTGGTATTACTACATCTATCCATATGTTGGTAAATAGATAATGTAGTATCTCGCTTGTTGACTCTATGTCTGATTTTAGTAATTCTGCACTGATGTTATCTATGCCAGGTGCTTTACCATTTTTTAGTTGTCTTATTGCCTTTTGGATTTCATTTTTGCATACAGCTTCTGTGTCTATTTCAAGTGCATCTCCAAACGGTTGAATGTCAGGTCTATCATCGTTTGTTTCAGCCCTATTCAGGATATTTTGAAGTGTTCTGCCCAACGATCTAACTTTTCCTTGTCTGTAGTAAGTAGCTTCCCCTCTTTGGATAGTACTGGTGCATCGTTTTTCCTGGACTTTCCACAGAGCTGCCTAGTGATTTTGTATACTTCACTGAGCTTTCCACGCTTTGACGCTTCTTCAGCTTCATTTGCAAGTTCTTCAACATAGTTTCTCATATCATTCTTTGCACCTTTTTTAACTTCTTTGTCTTTATCTCTATAGTCTGATTGCAATTTGGTTTTCAATCTGTTAGATTTAGCTGCATTAAGTTTTATGTGTATGGCTTTCCTTTCTTTGATGTTTTCCCAGGTCTTGTCTGACAGCCACTGTTTTCTTTTTCTGTTCTTCAAACCCAATACTTTCTCAGCTGTTTTAGTATAAATGTCCTTGATGTTATCCCAAATTTCAGTTATGTTTTCACCCATGTTTTCATTGTTGTCATCAATTTCACGAAGTACTTGGTATCTGTTTTTTACTTCAGTATTGAATTTTTGTCTTATTTTGTTGTCCTTCAGACTCTGCAGATAAGATGTTTTCCTGCTCAGCTCGTTCATCTTCGGAGCTTTCTTGAGCTTCAATTTTATTTTGCCAATAATCAGGTAGTGGTCACTTCCACAGTCTGCCCCTCTTTTTACAGATACATCATTTAGTGAATGCCGCCATCTGCCATTTATCATTAGATGGTCAATTTGATTTTTGTCTCTCCTGTTTGGCGATGTCCATGTAAGTTTATGTATATCTTTGTGCTGGAACATTGTACCACCAATAACCAGATCATTTAGTCCGAAAAATTCAATCAGTAAATTTCCGTTTTCATTACAAGTTCCACATCCGTTGTTACCCATTATTCTCTCCACTCCGATGTTGTCACTACCTACTTTTGCATTCAAGTCTCCATTAACCAGTACAACATCATAGGCATGCACTCCTTCCATTACACTTCTTAGCTTTTCATAGAAGTCGGTTTTAGTTTCAATGTCTGCTTCGTTAGTTGGTGCATAGCATTGAATCAGAGTAAGTTTCACATATTTTGAATGGAATCTTGCTGTTATTATTCTCTCATCTATAGGTTTCCATTCTATAAGAGCTTTACTTGCTTGCTTATTCATTATGATGGCTACACCTTCTCTATGGATATTACTAGTATCTTTTCTCCCAGAGTAAACTATCTTCTGTCCATTTGTTGTTATAACTGACCCATAACCTGTCCACCTGCATTCACTTATGCCCAGTATATCGATGTTATAGTTCATCATTTCTTTTTCAATTTGCGCAGTTTTTCCTACTTCTACAGGATTCTACAGTGATCCCAAATACTTAAGCTTTCATTAATGCCAAAATTATCAAAATTTTACTTTTTGACAAAGTTACAGCTATGCTATGTCCCAGATTAATTTTGTTTGTCAAGATCCAAACAAATAAAAATGAGGAAAGATCTAATGTCATTTAATTCATCATGTTCAATGACTTCAATGAGGTAACCTTTACCATCTTTTTAGACATGAATATCTTTTGTTACGTTTTGCCTTGTATTCCAGATATAAGCAACTTGAAATGATAGGAAGATAATGTTTAAACAGATAATGAATCAATGTTCACACTAAAACTATTTCACCTTCATCTTACAAAAAATGAAAATAACAAAAATACCGAATCCAAGGGATTTTCAAAACGGAAAGTCCTTTATAAAATCGCAAAATCATAAGCCCAAACACATCAAACAAATGGAAAACAACTGTCATATTCCTAACTTGGTAAAGGCATTATTTAATGTAGGAAATGGTCGATTAAACCTGGTTTTATAGCTAGCTAAACCTCTATCTTGTATGACAGTCGCATAGAATTCCATTATATTGAGAACAATGTGTGAGCAAAACAAACAGACATAATAGGTAAACCTTTTTAAAAAATGGGGTACAGCAGTCAACATTGTAATATAATTTTAATAACTATACAAATAAATAATTATTTCAACAAAGAAAAACAAAATGGCAAATAGACACTCTATAGACAAAGAATATAAGCAAAAGTGAAAGACAAGAATACAAAATTGACCATAGCACAATAACACAACGGCGGGATATATAAGTACCAAGCCACGCCAAAAGTATATTATCAAAAATTGACTGAACAGTAAAGGTTAAAAATGTACAAGGACAAATAAAAAGAACACTATAACACGTAATGAAGATGATAAACAAACTATACATCGTGTTTAGGTTTTCAGATCAAAGCAACTACAAATCATTTAGACATTTACTAGTATTAAAATTGCAGTTAGGTGAGGAAGGTCCACGTTTAAATAAGGTAACATTTACCTTCGTTGCTTTTTGATTATATTGCATTTAGTTCCAGATCCAAAAAAGGACCTACACATCATATATTTATATATGTTAATGGCATTAATGATATCAATGTTACTACACCAGATGTGCATTTCAACAATTAACGTCTCTTCAGTGATGCAAAACTATTTGAAAATCCAAAACTTAATACAAACTATGAAGATCAATATAAACGAAAAAGACCAAAAACAATATCCAAACCCGCCAAGAGGAAGATACATTTCTCAATTGTCTAAGATTATAACAGCAAATTTTAATAAAACAATATCCCGAAATTCATGCCACTACTGAAGTACCGAACTTCTGGGCCGGTGACTAACAGTCCACTAGCAGCGGTAGAAATAACATTACCGGTACCAGTTTTTACTGTACCAGATGTGCATTTTGACAATTGATGTCTCTCCGGTGATGCTCGAGATACAAACATTTGAAAATCTTATATTTGATACAAAATATGAAGAACTGACATCAATTATTTACTATTTAAGTATGCAAGTGACTTTATATTATGTAAAATACAGCAGAGTATTAGCATTTTAGGGTATTAGCTGTCCTTTACAACGGTCCCGTGTATTTATCATTTTTTGTTTTTTTTTATATTTAGTATTTATAAAACATTAATTATATTTGACGGTATTCATTTATATATTTTTACTTCATTTGAATTTTATTTTCGCTTAGGTTATGGAGGTCGTGGTTAGTATTAAGATTATTATGTTATTCGTATTATAATTGCACATATATTCTCTCTTTATTCAGCAATTGCCAACAACATCATACGTGCAGTTCAAGGGAGTCGACGAACAATTATGTTGTTAACTCCACGATATGTACAGAGCGAATTTACAAAGTTTGAATATCAAATGGCTCAAACAGAAATGTTAAAAAGACGACACAGAATTATTCCCTTAGTTTTAGATGATATATCTTCTGTAAGAAGTGAATTAGATCCGAACTTAGAGCAAATCATACATTCAGTGACTTATCTGGAGTGGCCTGGTGAAGAAGATAGTTTCAAAATGCAAAAGTTCTGGAAAAAATTAGTTTTATCAATGCCAAAGAAAAAAGATGTAGAAGAAAAACGTAAAGCCATGTCAAGTAGTGGTAGTCCTTCAAGTTATAATTTCAGTAGTCAAACATCAGAAATACCACTAGTTAGTCAATCATCAGATTCCTCTAGCAGTAATAGGATATCTATAGTTTCAAATGGCAGCAGTGATTACCTTTCCTCAGAACAAATCAACACCAATGGGCACATACCTTCGGAACAAATCAATAGTAATGGTTACTTGCCATCGGAACAAATCATCAGTAACGGTTACTTACCATCGGAACAAATCAACGGTAACGGTTACTTACCATCGGAACAAATCAACAGTAACGGTTACTTACCATCGGAACAAATTAACAGTAACGGTTACTTACCATCAGAACAAATTAACAGTAATGGTTACTTACCATCGGAACAAATTAACAATAACGGTTACTTGACATCAGAGCCAATCAAAAGTAATGAAATCATATTGAAATTACAAGATGATTCGATTGATCTCAACATAAATGGTGAAAAACCATCTAACCTCAAATCAAATATCAACAACTACCTCGATCTTATTGATCCAGATTCTTTTAATTGCTCTCATACATAACATCAACTATACATGTACATAAAACTAACCTTCTCAGTGACCCTATTCATTCATTATATATTATCCGTCCATGTATCGACTTACAGATTGGCAGTTTTCTTTCAAACGTAGGGCAAACACTAATCAAGATTAACATTTTACATTCTTTTTACCATTATTTTTTAAACTTATAGTATATTATGAAATAAAATAGCAAATATTGTATAAGTTTGATAACGCTAAATCTTTCTAGTAGGGGTGATTATTACACAAAATGCAATCGAATTTCAACTGTGACTGGCTAGTTTGCTTTTGTTAGATATATTAGTTAGCTATATTTCAGGTATTTAATGTTCTTGTGTTGGTGAGTACACAAAACATAGTGCAGTGAGGTGAACATTATTTAGATTATATTAATTGATTAAATATACTCAGATATTTTTTTAAAAAGTAACAACATAATGTGTATGTATATGACCATACTTGACACGAAACTATTTTATTAAAACTTTTTAAAAAATCAGAAAGTAGTGCATGGCGTATGCATCTATATTTTCCACCTTCAATTAAGGACAAAGAAAGATATCTCAATTCAAAGTATTGCTTCAATATGTTATTTTGCTTAATACAATGCAATGTATAATTTTCACTTCACAGTGCAAAATTAAAGCAACCTAAATTCTGTCGGTGTTCATAATCACTTTGATTTTCTTCTTTTCTACTGTCAAATTCCAAGCAACATAACCTAATTGCATTAAATTTCTTAAACCGAAATTCAGAAATTCAATAGGTTGTGCGCAGTAAGATTTAAACAGCATATTTTTCTTGTAAAAATCCTCAAACACATCGTTTTGAAGTTAAGACAGAGGAGGACTGATGCTGAAAGGGTTTAACAATACTAATACATCAAAAGGGTGAATTTTACTAGGGTTTCAAATTGTATTTTTGGGTATGATTTCAAAGCCTATTGTTCTAATGTAGTAATTTGAACTTCGTCAACTCTTTCTATCTTGGTGGACGCATTCAAATATTTGATCAAAGGGAGATTACAATTCAGAAGTCGGAAACAAAATGACAACGCCATGGCAAAAAAACGAATAACGACAAAAAGAAACAATAGTCTAAAAACACAATATAGAAAACTAAAGACTGAACAACGTGATCTCAGGTGCTCCGGTGCAATTTTACGTATGAGGTCTTCCTACGCATGACGGGTGATGCATGCACAGCAGGAGACGTTTATCCTGTAAACGCACCTGTTTCCCTTCCTTTGGTGTTCATGCGATTCCTTCAGTTTTTTATTGTTACCTTGATTTGTCTCTTTCTAATCGTTTAAAGAGATTTGAAAATCGGTAACTGACTGTCGCTTTAATGTAAGAGGTGTGGTGCAATCCTTTTGCTTCATAAAATTTCTAAATCTTTGCAATTTAAACTTCGGAGTCCGTAATACATCCCTTTGTTTTTAATTTTCCACTTTAATGATGCATTTTATTTCAGATTATATCTTTGCATATCCCATGTTAAGCAAATTTAAATTTTACGGGTAATTTAGGAGACATTTCTTTTCAGTAATTTATATGTCTCATAAATCATGTAGTCCTATAAATGAATATATGTATATGAATAAATAGAGATGGTGGGTATACGCCAATGAATCAACAACCTTATTGCACACGAAAAAGATATTTAGATTTCAATAGTAGATATTATACAATATTACATATGGTGTAGCATTCTACTGTTTTCATTGGATATTACGATCACGTGTTTCAAAGGTTATTTGACGTATCCGACGCCTTGTTTCTATTTTTAAGTATATTGACGCTATGTTACTATTTATATGTATATTGACGGTCAATATAAAAAATCTTGCTAAATTTAGATTTATGACGTCATGACGTCACACAAAACAACCATGGAGGAAGCGCCGCATCAGACGAAAAGAAAATTTGCAAGTTTATCAGAAGATTTCAAGAATTTTATGTTAAATGCAGACGCTAAGAATACAAGAAAGCTAATGCAACAAGCTATGGAGTTGTTCAAAGAATATTCATATTTTCAATAACATGTAAAAATTCTTGCAAAATACATTTTAAAAATACACAGAAAGAACATTGAACGCCATTTTCCTAATACATTATTAACATATGTAATATATAGATTAAGGACTTTCACTCAGTCAATACGTTATATATGAACCTGTTAGATTATATTGACACTCGTACTTCGTCCTCGGTTAATATAATCTGAACAGGTCCATATATATCGTATTGACCTCGTCAAAAGTCCATAATTGATAAATATGGCAAACTCTATAGCACTCGGAGTTCAGTTAAAATTCATATAAACAATTGTAGATCTGACATCAACAACAAATCAACAAAGTGACAAAATCATTTGGACAAACAATAATTCCGAGGTTTCTGATATGCACATGAACATGTGAACGGGGTTGAACTATTTTTTTGTGGCAACCCTTTCAATTTTAATATGGCAATAGCCTATAGCATGATAACATTGTTCCTTACAATGGACGACGGATGTCATATACCTATCGTTACTTTCACAGAATTTGTTATTTTTATTACCTGGTATTAAGTCATATTTTTTTTTATCTTTATATATACAATCCGGTAAAGATACATTTTTCAAGTTGTTATAACGATTCAAATTATCTTTGAATTTCTTTATTTCGACATATGTTACCGAATTTTGATTTAAAATACCGTTTTAGGTCAATATTTTTATGAAGTATTTTCCAGTGCTTGTTTGATAGTTCTCGTCTTGATAGACCTTATACGTAAACTAGATAACACGAAATCATTCTCTTCATTTCAATAGATTATATCTTTCTCAATATGATATTAAATGATTAGTTTTGAAATACATTTTCTTTCAATTTGCTTTTATTTGTTGGATTTTACCGAAACAGGGCCCAAATTTTAGTTAATGATGTATAACATTAATTTCTATATATTGCGATATATTTCTCATGATAAAACATGTATATTCCTCATTAGACCAATTCGGAATAAGTTTATCCATGTACAATAAATACATTGTAAACAAATATGATTTAAGTATCATGTGATGTCTTGACAGTTGTTCTGCATACCAGCCATTACTTAGAGACAATGTGGCTCATTATTGAATTTTTTATAGTCTTTATTTAACATTTATGAATACTGTTATTTTAATTAAAAAAACGTGATTCATCAAATGTCTATTAAGAATAATTAATATGAATGTTAACGTTTACCTTGCTTATTTTAGCTTCTACAGAAGTGAATGCCCTCACGAGGCCGTAGATATGTGACACTTTAATAAAATAAATTATTATTATTATTAGTATTATTATTATTATTACTATTATGTTTGTAAGCAGACCTTATGAACTTGATTAAAACTCATTCTAGGCTTTTGGGTAGTATCTAATTTTCATAAATCAACCTTTAATTTTCAAAATTGATTTACTTCGAATTACCAAGTTATTAGAGCTAACAAAACAGGCACTTTAATATTTCATTTCTTTATAGACAACGATGTTGCAATATTTTTGATTGTTAGGTAAATTCTTTAACATTTAAAATCCGCTTCACTGCATCATCTGATTATCGTAAAAAACATATATAGAATGTCTAATATACAAGCAACTAAACATTTGTGAAATAGAAAATAAAATTGAGAATGGAAATGGGGAATATGTCAAAGAGACAACAACCCAACAAAAGAGTAGACAACAGCCGAAGGCCACCAATGGGTCTTCAACACAGCGAGAAAATCCCGCACCCGGAGGTGGTCCTCAGCTGGCCCCTAAATAAAATTGTGTACTAGTTCAGTGAAAATGGACGTCACACTAAACTCCAAAACATATAAATGAACTAAAATTAAAAAACATACATGACTAACAAAGGCCAGAGGCTCCTGACTTGGGACAGGCGCAAAAATGCGGCGGGGTTAGAAGCTCACATCTAAGTTTTTTTTAACCCAATGCATAGATTGCCTTAGCCGTATTTGGCGCTACTTTTTGGATTTTTTGGTTTTTAATTTTCTCCAACTTCATTCTGATTTGACCTTCCAACTGTTTTGATTCGAGCGTCACTAATGAGTATATGAATATGAAACGAGCGTAACTTGGATGAGATATTTAATTATGTAATAAATATTAAATGTCGGAATTTTTACAAAGTTTCATTTTATTATATATATATAAAGTGTCTAAAAATTGCAACAATCAACATTCAATCTATCTTATAAATAAATCTTGGTAGCATTTGATCAAGTTTTAGTACTTGCACGGTATACCGTGATGTTACCAAGGACAACAGGACCTGTCTTGCTTTTATGGAGTTCTTCACAATTCAGTTTTGTTAAGTGATGGTGCAGAGTAAGTCTTCCGCCAATATACAACTTTCGAATTATGTCCTTCACCGGAAAAGTTGTTCAATTACCAGATGGAATGGACCGCCTGTATCCCTGCACTACTAAAGTTCATCAAGCGAAACATCATTAGGGTCGCATATCTACTATTTTTTTTATAGAATGTTATCATGAACATATCTTTAACATGTCAAGATCTTTCTTATTGATATTGATATCACATGTAACAATTTGTTTAACAAAGCAGAACCAACAGGTCTGAACTTCCTAAATTATGTGCTGTCCATCTTAATAATGTGAAAATTGGGAAATATTTTGTTGGAACTTCCGAATAAAGAATTATGGACCAGAAAATGGAGGAGAAAAACATGATACGCAAATTAAAATAGAAATCAATGGGGTGCTTCATTGTAAAAGTAAAGTGCATAATGCATACTAGAGACAACATCAAATGGTTGCCCTCTGACTATATCAAAATTGTAAACTATTAAATCATTAATGTGACAGTTGGAACCATGATATGGTGGTAGCATGTAGGATTCAATTCGTACAATCTGACGTCGTATAACATTATAGAATAAAGTTCCAAATCTTCTTTTAATACAATGCAGAGAGGCGAAAGATACCAAAAGGGATAGTCAAACATACTGACAATATTGTAGCAAAATACAACGAAAAAATAAACAACAATACATTAAACACACAATTTACAACATATAGGTACCATTAATTTATAGTGTATAATATATTTTGTTAACAACGGTTTCTGAAGATCAAGTTTATATCTTACCATTAGAATCATTAATCAAAGCAAAAGAGTAGCCAATTGCCCTTTTCAACATCAAAACATTATTGTGATATTATTTATTACAACATGAGTTGGTACTTAAATAGGCATGATGCTGTAGAGGAATAAATATATCCTCTTTTAGGAGAAATAAAAAAAGCTTTCTATGTTGCAAGGCAAATATCTATACAGTGTTTGCGTAATCTATTTATTGTTCATTGTGTGTAGCAATACTAGGAAAGGAATTTTTACTTTTCTTTTAGTTTTATTATATAATTATTGTTCCTTGTGTGTAGCAATAGTAGGAAAGGAATTTAAACTTTTCTTTTAGTTTTATTATACACGCGTAAGTTAAAACAT